GGCGGGCGTCCACCTGCCGGTAGAGGGCCTCGGCCCGCGTCAGCACGTCCTCCACGCTCAGCTTCATGGTCAGCTCGTTGATGTGCTGCGGGAAGGGAAGAGCTGGGTCAGCCTGGCAGGCAGCCAGCCCCGCCCCAGCGCCTACTCTGCAGAGCTGGGCACCAGACGGCTGGGGCATCACCCACTCAACACCCCCAACCGTGCTCACAGCCAACTAGAATTGCTTCCCTGAGGTACCGTGGAGCAGGCGCAGCGCCCGCCTCCACCAATCACCCCCCAGGTCAGGGTGGACAGGGAGGAGAGTGGGAAAGAGGTGGGCCTCACTTTGAGGATCTCATTGGAGCCAAAGCCCGACAGCATGAGGGTGTCCCGCTCCATGTCCAGGATGGCACAAGCCACAAGCAGGTGCAGGTTGGGACCAGGGAGTCCAGTCCACAGCACCTGGGGTGGCGGGGTTGGAAAAAGTCACAGCCAGCCTTCGCCCTCCACCCCAGCCCCCAGGCTCCTCCCGCCAGCAGGAGGGCCTTTCTCACAAGGTCAACCCACCCACCCAGAAACCGGCCCACCTCCCACAGCCGGAGGACGTCAGGGAAGGGGAACTCCCTCTTGAACCAGATGAGCAGCCACCGGAAGCAGAAGCAGAGGGAGCCAGAGTCCTGGGAGTCTGGGGAGGTGAAGGACAGGGAACCAACTCAGCCTCGCAGGCCTCACAAAGTGCAAGTGTGGGGCTAATTCCGTCCCACTCCAAGGCACGGAGGTGCTAAGTGGTGCTGGCTGGGACCTTCCTCCAGCCTTGGCAAGGGACTTATGCCAAGTGCAGGGGGCCGCAGACATGAGCCCAGCGTGCTTCCGTGGCCAAGGCCTTTGTCCTTGGCATTCCACACTGCAGAGCAAGGCCACTGTGGCCCAGTCTTCCACACAGGAGATGCGCTGAGACCAGCGCCCCCTAGAGGAAACCGATCTCAGCGCCCAGTGCTAGAGAGGGCTGAAATGGGCACTCCCTTTCTGTCCCGGGCTTGCAGCGGTGACCGGGCAGGAAAACAACTGGCAGGACAAAGGTTCCAAATGCCGTAAGGACTGCCCTGGACCTGATTCCACTGCTTGGAGCCTGTCAATAAGCCACCTGATTATTCATCTTGAAAAACTGTACATGACCCAACTGCCCAGCACTTGTTCTAGAAATCAATTCTAGACCATCCTTCAGAAAACCATGCAGTCACTTGGGACCAGCCCCTCAGGCAATGGCTATGTCGCTGAACTCCCACGTAGTCAACCGTGGTTCACTTCCTGGACCAGGTGGCTTAAAACTCACACCAGGCGCGTGTGCGTGTGCGTGCCCAAGATCCCGAGAGGAAAATGGAGGAGAAGGGATTGCAGTGTGGCCATCCCCCTGGGGGATGATTTCTCGCTTTGTGTCTCTCTGTCTCTGTCTGTCTGGCGAGCGCATGTGCCCTATAGCAAAAACCTCTCCAAAAAAAAAAAAAAAAGAAAAGAAAACCATGCAGTCACTGAATGATTACTTTTTAAAAGATTTTCCCCCTAGGGCACATGCACTCACTGAAGACACAGAGACAAGTGAGAGTGAAAGTGAGAAATCACCCCCAAGGATGCTGCAACCCCTTCTCCATTCTCCTCTTGGGATCTTGGGCACACACACACACACACACACACGTGTCAGGCATGAGTTTTAAGCTACCTGGTCCAGGCGAGTCCAGCAACATAATCACTTGCTGGCCCAGGAAATTAACTTTTGTCATTGTCTCCCCTCTAAGGTACCAACAGCCTCTACTTTCATTCCTTAACCCAAATTTCTTGTTTTTTTAAGAGTTTTTTAATTTTGCCATGGGATGCATGCATCTGCCAGAAAGACAACTAAAAAGCAAGAAATCAGTCCCCAGGGAGATAGCCATGCCACAATCCCTTGGGCACACACAGACACATGCCCCGTGTGAGTTTTATGCCACCGGGTCTGGAACTAGAACTGGCATGAGAGTCCAAAGATGTAACCATTATACCATTTGCTGGGCCCGAATTTTCTGCATTTTTTCCCACTGAATGGGTAATGAGGAGAGGCTGGAAGGACAAGCAGATGGCGCGAGGGTCACATCACCGCACTCCTACGTAGCTGACTGCAGTCTGAGTGCTGGACCCAGTGGCTTAAAACTTAAGTTAGGAACGTGTGCGCGCACGCCCAGAATCCCGAGAGGAGAATGAAGAAGAAGGGGTTGTGGTGTGGCCATCCCCCTGTGGATGATTTCTTGCTTTCTGCCTGTCTCTGCCGCCCTGGTGAGCACTTGCACCCTGTAGCAAAAATCTCTGGGGAAAAAAAAAGGCTGGCTGGAAAGTGAGAAAACTGTCAAGCCCCAGCCCAAGGGCCAGAGCACCAGCTTCTGTTCCGGCCTGAGAGCAGGAGCTGGGCAGACTCCCCCTTCTCAGAGCCCTGCAGGTCTGGCTCAGCCGGGATCCAGTGCAGGAGGGGCCGGCTGCCTGGCCCATGGGTGGGCAGGTCCACACGTCTGCAGTGCCAAGGGTTTACTCCAAACTACCACCCTGCCCATACATGTGGGTTCCGGTTCTGAGTTACATGTGGCCCTTTTCCTTGTTTGGATCAAGACCAAGTCCTGGCCCCCATCTGTGGCTCCTGACAGGGACTCTAGCAAGGACCCTGGCCCACTGCCTCGGTCCACCCTTGCCCAGGGCACACACCCAGGAAGTCACAGAGTGGCGGGTCAAGCACCCTCAGGAGCAGCAGCAGTTGTCCGAGTTGCCGCTTCATGGTCTCTTGACTCTCCTCAAAGTTGCCCTGCTGCAGGGGGGAAGGTGGATCCGTGAGGAGCCAGGAGCCCCCGGCCCCCAGGGGCCTATCTCCTCCCCTGCCCCAGCCTCACCACAAGCTCCATGAAGCCACAGAAACACCAGAAGGCATCCACCTCGTTCTGAACAACGTAGAGGATGGGAGAGAGCAGGTCGCTCATGCCCTGGACGTAGCCTGGGGGGACATGAGTTCGGGAGCTAGCTCGGCAGGGCTGCAACACCCGCAAGGGAGACCCAGCCCCTGCCGACCAGCCCAGCCCCCAGTCCCAGCGCACCGAGGTCGAAATGGTACATGCAGTACGTGAGGAGGATGTCATGCAGCAGGCCCAGCCCCGGGTTCTCGGGGCCTTCGTAGAACTTGTTGGTCCTGTCGGTGCGGCTCACGTCTCTCTCTGCCAAGGCCAAGACCAAGACGGGGAAGGGTATGAAGGGGAGAGGGCTGAGCGTTCCATCCCTCCCTGGCCACACTCACCTCCACCCCCACACCCACCGATGAGACTGCGGTACCCATGCAGGAGTGAGTTCCTCCGCTCCTGCTCGGGGCTCACAGATTTCCACTGCAGCTTCATGCGGAAATACTCGTCCCTGAGGGGCAGGGAGAGGAGAGAGGCTGAGGTGTCCCCAAGCTCCAGGCAGGACCTGGGAAACGCCAGTCCAGTGCCACTGCCTTGTCCTTCAGGGCTGTTCCCTGGTCTTCCCGGCACCTCCCTGGCCATACAGGTTCAAGCAGGCCACCCAGTTGCTCCTGCCACCCCTCATCTCTCACTGCACAGAACATCCTCATTGGCTTTTGGTGGTCACCTGTCACCCCCTGCTGGACAGAGAGTGCTAGGGTGCTTTATCAACTCCAGGAACAAAGGTATAGAACACACGGCAAAGCTACAGTTGTTAGGCGGTGTGGCTTGGGAACAAAAATAGCAACGGAGGACAGGAACCCCGGGAGGGGGACAGGTCAGGCCTGTTCACCACGTCCCTCCAGCATGGGAGAGTGCCCAGTGTGTGGCAAGGGCACCCGAGAACACAGTGGCTCACTCACGTTTTCTTGCGCACATGGGTCTTGTGCTCGTCACTCGAGCCCTCCCAGCTGAGGTACCCCAGGAGGAACTTCCAGGCCTCACGCCGCAGGCTGGGGCAGAGTCCCTGGGGTAGAGCAGGTAGGCAGCTCAGAGGGGCCTTCTGGATGCCTGTTGGACCCACCCTGTCCTCCCACCCACCTTGGTGCTCACCCCTGAGAAGATCCGGCTCTTCAGCTCAGAGACTTGCTGCAAGCGGCCCTCGGGGCTCATGTGGCTGGCCCACTCCTCCTCTGTGACTGGAGACGCCCGCTCCACGGCCGGCCGCGGCCCCAGCTCTACCTGCGGCCACGAGTGAGTGAGCCCCGTGCCCTGGCCAGGACCGGCCCTCATCCCGTCTCAGCCACCTCTGAGAGAGCTCAGCCCTGCTTAGCTTGATGGGCAGTTAACGTGCAGCATCAACCACCCTGGGTCAGCAGTGGAGTAGCCCCCGAATCAGGAAACACCCCTCCGGGGACCAGCAGTTAGTGTAATGGCTATGTCGCTGGACTCCCACGCGGTTCGCGTCCCGGACCCAGTGGCTTAAAACTCATGCCGGGCGTGTGTGCATGCGTGCCCAAGATCCCGAGAGGAGAACAGAGAAGAAGGGATTGTGGCGTGGCCATCCTCCCGGGGGGTGACTTCTCGCTTTCTATCTGTCTGTCTGTCAAAAAAAACCCACAAAAAAAAAAAAAAAAGGAAACGCCCCTCCAGTGATAACAGTGTCAGCCAGCGGCCAGTGGTACACATGAAGTCACGCCTTGTGGGGCACAGTGAGGGGCCGATGTTACTGTTCCCAGCTTACTGAGGCGGAAATGAAGCCCAAGGAATGAAGTCACAGTGCTCAAGGGAACAGCCAGTGCATAGTAGGGAGGGCCGCTCAGTACTCACACAGGAGATGACCTCGAAGCCAGGCTCAGGCTCATCCTCGGGTGCTGGAGGAAGGTCAGGGGAGGCCCCCTCAGGGTGGGGCTGCAGGGCTCCCCGGAAGAAGTTGGTTACCCGGGAGAAGCTGCTGAAGGTAGTGGAATACGGGTCCTGGAAGAAGCGCTGAGACGGGGCCACAGCCAGTCAGAGCCCACCCTTCCCGGGCTGGTCCCTTCCTGCCCACACCCTGCCGGCCGGGACTGGGAACTCACAGACACCACATTGGAACTGTCCTGGTCGAACAGCTGCAGGTGGTGGAAGGAGTTGGAGAGGGCAGAGGAGTCGTGGGGGAAGACAAGGTAGAGGCGGGAGTCCTGCGGGGAGCTGGGGGAGAGGGACAGTCAGGCCATGCCCAGTGTCCCAGGCTGTCATGCCTGCCCTGCGTTTGTTCCTGCTGCAGCTGCCTGATTGCCCTCGAGGAGAACCCCTCATCTCTGGTAAGCGGTTGTGGAGGAAAGGCCTGAGACCCATCTGGACCCCAGAGGTGGGCACATGATCCAGTGCTGGCCAATGAGAGCCCTCCATTTCCCTAGCCAAGATGACTGATTCAGGGATGAGCCAATGAGAAGCAGCCCTGGGATCCTGCTGGAATATGGGCAAGAGATGCTTTCTATTGAGCTGGGCCACTAAACCAGGGCTGCTGGCAGTCTAGAAAATGACAGAACTTAGAGAAAAAAGAGCAGCTCTTGCAACACTTCAGGACCTAGGTCCTGCCTGAGATCAGCAAGAGCCTCCGACTTCTCGACTGCATGTGCCAGTCTCGTCCTCTGCCTGGAAGTTGGCCTGAGCTGTGTTCTCTGGCAGCCTCGAGGGGTCAGGCTACAGCTGCGGAAGGATAGGGCCTGGTCACAGGCATGGGACAGAGAGAACGCTCACCTGGCAAACAGCAGGTAGCGGCTGAGGACACGGAGCAGGGCACGGGTGCCCCCGCGGTGGAAGTGCAGGGCGGGCAGGGAGCCCCCGGCCTGGGTCACCAGCACCAGGTATGCCCAGTTGAGGCCCGGCTTGGAACGGCGGATGGACTTGAGCTCCCCTAGGCTCACGGAGAAGGCCCAAGAGCCCCGGGGGGAGCTGGACTCTTCACCTGGGGGGACAGTGCCATGTTGGGAGACCAGAGGTGGCCAAAGCGACATAGGGTGCTCACTCAGCACAGTCATCCCGAGGCTCACTGAAGCCACCTCCAGGCCCTGGCCCCGAGAGCTCTGGGTTATCCCACACGTCCCGGGAAGCACAGGGGAATAAAGCGGGAAGGTGGACCCGTGCCTCTCCAGGACCTTCCCAGGCTCTCCTGGCTTTCAGAATACAGACCGTATGCTTTCACCTGACTCTTAGGTGCCCTCGGTCTGGTCCTGGCCCCTGCCTGCCTCCCCTCCGTCCCCCTGCATCCCCACACCCTACACTCAAGTCACAGAGCAAGGCTGGTGGCCCTGAACACGCCCAGGCCAAGTGCCACTGGCCCCGCACAGGCTGCTTGCTAACAGGAGAGGGAGCTCCCAAGTGTCCTGCAGAGCCTGCCTCTCGCGTCACCTCTTCCTAAAAGGAGTCTCCACCCCGTGGGGTCAGGCGCATCTCTGGGTGCCCCAGCACCACGGGTGACAGCAGGATGGCCACCCTGACTGGTTCAATTTGTTATCCCCCAAACCTTCAGAGGCAGGACTCTCCCAGTGGGATGAGCAAGGCTACAAACACCAAAGTACAGCCACCCTGGGCCTGGACGGGGTTGGTCCCTGTACCACCTGCCTCCTCTCTCCTGGAGGTGGAAGGCAATGCTGAGAGGCCATCTTGACTATGGGCAGCAAAACCCATGGAGCATGACCAGTGAGGGCAAGATGTGTCCCTGCACACTGGCCTCCAGGTGTGCAGCTCAGCCTACCTTTTGGGGGCTCTGAGTGGCGGGGCCGTGGCCGCACAGTGCTGATAACAGCCCAGTCGGGTTCATAGCCGGGGTCAAAGGTTGGTTCCTCCTCAGAGGTGCAGGAGTCGCCCCCACTGGAGTCCTTGAGGGGAAGGAAGGAGAGTGAAGGACTATGGATTCAGTTTCCAGATCTGAGCCACCCTGGGAGGCAAGCCCTTGGACAGAGAACTGCTGGTCCCTAAATAATTCTTGAATTGGCCCGGGAACCAGCAGTTAGTGTAATGGCTATGTCGCCGGACTCCCATGTAGGAGGATGGAGGAGAAGGGATTGCGGCGTGACCATCCCCCCTGGGGGGTGATTTCTCGCTTTCTGTCTCTCTGTCTCTCTCTGTCTGTCTGGCGAGCGCA